ATGTTAGTAGTAATGTCATTAATAAATCAATTAGTTTTATAAAAATACCACTCTTACATATTATAAATTTATCTTTAAAACACGGGATTTTTCCTGAAAACTTAAAATGTGCAAAGATTACATCAATCTGAAAATATTCGAAAAATATTGGTCTACTTTACGAAGCTAAGCTGTTATTAAATGAAACCTGTTTAAAATACATTTATTTTTCATTTATTATTATGAAAACGTTGCCTGGTGTAGCACTAATGCAACTAAAATAAATAAACTAAACAAAAGCATGCTTTAAGAATTATTTAAAAAAATGTAGATCGTTTCTCACACACTAAACCTCTATTCATTAAGTTTAATATTCTCAACGTATTTCAATTAAATCTTTATCAAATTCTTATTTTTATGTTCAAAGTTAATAAAAAATACCACCTATTTTTTTTGATTCATTTTTGTAAAAAATAAATCATCTATGCCCAACACGATTTTCAGAAAACAATTATATTCAAACTAAAACCGCTTACTCTGTTACTAAGTTTTTAATTGCAAACAGAGAGACTAAGGAACACGGTTTTGAATAATGAGTTAAAAACTATTTCTTCTATTAAATATATTAAAAACAAACTTAAGCAAAAGCTTTAAATAAATGACAACAAATTAAAATTTTTCTTAAGCCTTTGACTAGGAGTAATGACGTTTGTCTATTTATTTTAATTCTTAATAAATATGATTTAAATATATACTCTCTATATATACTGTTATTCAATTTCTACATTATGACGTTATTTTTTATATTATTTGATATAATAATCTTTAGTAGAAAACATATACAAAAGACACATTAAGTTAATAAAAATGTTTTTTAAAAATGTTTTTTTTTTGTTTTGTTTGTTATTCGTGTATTATCTGTTATTTTACGATTTAAATTCAAAAGGTTTATAAATCTAAAACCAGTTAAGAAAAATGAATTTAATTAAAAAAATAATTAATTTAAAAATATTCGTATATTTTTGCATATATTACATTTTAACACAGCCTAAAATTTATTTTTATTTTATTTTTTACTTAATGTTACATTTTATTTAACGTTATTTTATTTTAATGTTTTATTTAACGTTTATTTAACGAGTTACTTTGCTTTGTATTTTTATTATTGACAGTTTTATTTAAAGGGGTTTGGTGATAAGACTAAATTAGTCTCCTTCTTGCCCAAGCCATGTATTATATATTTGTATTGCATACACTTGTAAACTTTTTTTTATCGACGAAATACATAATAATAATAATAGTCATTTCTTGTGATAACCTGAAAAATGTTTACATGAAAAAAAACATAGTTCCAATCAATCGCTAAATCAAGTTGAACAAAATTCCTAAACTGTATACATGTTGAAAAAACTGCTTTAAGAATTGAAGTAGGATTAGCTGTTCTTAATTCTATGATGGATAACAATTTTTAAATTAATTTTTAAATGAGTTTGGAATGACATTTAGTAACAATGGGCAAAATTAGAGTTTAAGTAAAGACACCAAACAAGTCTCGGAAACAGAAAAGCAATATAATCATAAAATAAAATCAATTAAAAAAAAATATTATTAGAAATACAAAATAGTTTTTGCGATTAAAATAAAAAATTAGTTGATGTAAAAGAGTTAGGATTTTTGAACTTAGTTTGTTTCCATTATTTTTTTACTTGCATTTTTCTCAAAATCATGTTTTTTGCGCTGGCGACGGAGATATTTTCAAAACTAATTATCAAATTGATTTGAAATTTGACCCACTTATTTATTGCATTAGTAATTACAACATACGCTAGAATAATCTTTACTGCTTTTCTCGTTTAGTATTTATTAAAGATTTTGTGCCCTTAAATTACCTCATTTTTATCCAAATTTACAAAAATGCCAATATTTTATCAATTTTTGTACCTTACTTAATGTTAAGGTATAAAACATATCATAATGAAATATTATACAAAAACTACAAAAATTTGTTTGAAAAAGCCAAAAAGTTTTCAAAAAAATCTTAATATGAAAAGCTATTAGAAAATACTAATGGAAATACAAAAAAAACTTGGAATATAATCAAAGAAATAATTGGCAAAAATATTTCGATTAAAAACAATTTGCCACAAAAACTGTTAATTGATGAAAAAGTTGTTTATGATAAAGAAACCATAGCTGAAAAACTAAACAGTTTTTTTTCTTGAGATTGGTCCAAATCTGGCGGCTAAAATTCCATCTAGTACCATAAAATTTGAAACTTACCTCAAAACAGCAAATAATGATATGACAGAGCTAAATTTAAATATAAGTGAGTTGCATAATGCTTTTTCCTCTAAAAATAACAAAAGTGCAGGCATAGATAAAATTAGCGTCAATGTAGTTAAATCAGTCTTTGATATTATTGAACCCTTATTGTTTCACATTTTTAATCTCTCATTAACGTATGGTAATGTACCAGACAAACTTAAAATAGCCAAAATCACACCGATTTTTAAGTCTGGTGAAAAAACAAATGTTTCAAACTACAGACCTATTTCTGTATTACCTTGTTTCTCTAAATTGCTAGAACGCATTATGGACAATCGACCTTATAATCATTTAGTATTAAATAATATTCTGTACAACAAACAATTTGGGTTTTAAAAAAAATTATTCTACGGATCACGCGGTAATTGAGTTTGTAAACATATATCGGATGCTTTTGATAAAGATTATTTTACCTTAAGAGTTTTCATTGATTTATTCAAAGCATTCGACACTGTCAATCATGAAATCCTTATAAAAAAAATAGAACTTTATGGAGTAAACAACTTAAACTTAATTTGGTTTTACTAACAGAAAACAATGTATAACCTAGGAAACAAATGAACCAAAAAAAAAAACTTATAAGTTGCGGGGTTCCTCAAGGATCTATATTAGGATCGTTATTGTTTCTAGTGTATATAAATGACTTATATTTAGCATCTTAAAAAAAAATAGCTTATGCTGTTTGTTGATGATTCCAATCTGTTTTATTCACACAGAGATATAAAAATTTTAATGAAGAATTACCTAAAGTAAATGAATGGTTTATAAGTAACCGCCTTTCACTAAATTTAGATAAAACTAAATTCATCCTATTCTACAAACCAAATAAAGTTGATAGTATTCCACTTAAACTGCCAAATCTTTTATTCAATAAAACAGATGTAAAAAGGAAATCTACTGTTAACTTTTTAGGCGTAATTCTTTATGAAAACTTGTCATGGAAGTTTCACATCCAATCTATTGAAAGTAAAATCTTTTATAATATTTCCGTATTTTATAAAACAAAACCGTTTTAAAACACAAAAGCTCTAATGAAAATTTATTTTTCATTTATTCACAGCTATCTTTCTTACTGCAACATTGCATGGGGAAGTACGAATTACGGAAAACTCAAAAAACTCTATAGTAAACAAAAGCATGCTTGTAGGATTGTATTTGGGACAAACAGAACTGTTTATTGCGAACCACTATTAAATCGACTCAAGACCTTAAACATTTATAAACTAAACATTTACCAGACATTGCTTTTCATGTTTAAAATGAAACATGGAATATCTCTACTTATATTTCAATCTTACTTTAGCGAAATATCTCATAAGTATCCAACAAAGTTTTCAGAGAATAACTTTATTGTTCCGAGAAATAATTTAAAAATAAGTTCTTACGAATTCAATATCGAGGACCTTTTTTATGGAAAAATTTTATTAAAAACTTAAATTAGGAACACTAATTTTTAGAAAAATTTAAAGCAGTTTCTAAAAGAATCTTTCTTCAATAAAATTTTAAATCAATAGACTTTAAATACCTTTTTTAAAAGGTAATTTTAAAATAAATTTTTTTTAAAGGTAAATTTAAAATAAAAAAAATATATATACATATATATATATATATATATATATATATATATTTGTTAAACATGTATTTGTATTAATATACAAAACTTTCTTTATTTTTAAATTTTTAATATAAATGTCATTTTATTATTTGACAAAAGTTATGTACTCTTTAACGTTTCTTTGTATATTTTATTTTTTGTTTATAAACACGGACAATTTGCAAACAAGGCTCAGTGATAAGACAGTCATTGTCTTCTTCTTGCTCTGGCCAATTTTTATAAATGTAATGTCTTTATTGTAAATATATGAAAAAAAACTTAAATCTTTTTGTTCACGACACAATGACACATATAATATATCAACAGTCAAAATTTCAATCTTAAATTATGAACGGTTGCTGAAAAATCTTCGTCACCCTTTTGCCTTTTAATGATTAATAAATAATAATTGAAAAAAAATTTTTTTTAGCTTTAAATTGTATATTAAACAATTTGAAAAAAAAAATATATATATATTTGTAAAAGTTGAATACAAGTTTTTTTTTTAATTACTGTACTACCACCTTTGATCTGCGGATGTCTGATGATGCGGATGCCTGATCTCTATTAATGATTTTTACAAGTTACCCGGTGAAAAAAAAAATAACTAGTTGAGTGGAGTCGGAATCGCTAAACATAATCACGACACCGACTCCAATAGATAAACTCGGTATTGCACATGCTTAAACAAAATATTCAATTAACCTTATATTTATACTAAACCTCAAAGAACTTTTGATAAATTTGGCAAATAAAATTTTTTTAACTTATAGCGTTATGTTTTTTAAAGAATTCAAAGAATTTTTTAAAAGTTTTGCTTTCGAATCAGAGTTGGAGTCGTACTCTGAAAATTTCAACGACTGTAGTCGGAGTCGGTACTTTTTTTTTACAACTCCACACCCCTGAAAATAACGGTAAGGTGACAAGTTGACAAAACGATAATGAATCGATGAAACGATACCAAAAGATTAATTAAAAAAAAAAAATAACAAAAACGAAACGATGTGTAAAATAATCTACACTAAAAATAATCAGGGGATAAGTTTTGGGTTGGGAAATCAATTAAATAAAACATATTGGCATTTATGCAAAACAAAAAAAATTCAGGAAAAATATTTTAATCAGCAACATCATCATCTCCTATATCTAAATCGTCTATATCTTCAAAAAGACTTTCATCAACGGGAATTCCGTCTATTACAACATCGTTAGAGGTTATTAGGTCGCTTGAAGGATCGAGGGTATTATCGTCAGTTGTTTTTGTAACAGCCTTAAAATTAAAGTAACCACTCAAATAAATATTAAAAAGTTAAATTTTAAATCATTAATCTGCATTAATGATTTAAAATTTATATATACACACACACGTGTAATTTAGTATATATATGTACATAGAAACTAGTAGAGTAAACTGGGGTATTAGTCAATTATTTTTTTAAAGAAAAAATATTTTATGATTTTTTTTGTCTTAGGTTTAATATGTTTAAAAAAATTTTATTTGCAGATATGTTTAAAAAAATTTTATTTGCAGATATGTTTACAAAAAACTATTTTAATCAAATATACAAAAAAAATCTATTCGTTAATTAAATAAATTTGAGTTGTTTCATGGTAAGAAGCAGGTCCGCAGAAATTTTTCATGCAAAAAAAATCTTCACCAATTTTCCATTTTTAGGGAAATACGATCGACAAACCTAAGACTTGCAACTAAAAGTTTCACATTGGTTGATTTGAGTTGGCAATACTAACTAAACGCTGTGAGACTTTTTGCGCATCTTGATACCTTCGGTTTTTCAGAATGATGCACTTTCTGAGTTTCACCTGCAGCTTCACTAAAGTTAATCTTGCGTTTCTTTAATTGCTTTAACTTTTTGGCCACATCGTCTTGGTTTAGTTTCTCGAGCACCTCAGATGTACTTATGTACATCTTTACAGATGTAGACACTGGCCTCTCGGAATGACATGGAACTCTTGGAATGTTGACTCTTTTGGGTCTTTTTGAGTGTAAACATGGTGGCGCTGTAAACCATTTTTCATATTGTCTTCGAGTCTTTCTGTTAAGCGTTGCAACATTAAGTCAATGGTGTTGCTGTTAAGTTTTAAAGTTAGTGGATCGTTGGAGTTTGATGCTGACTGAAGTTAGATGATGATATAGGCTGGGAAGTGGATGATGAAGCAGGCTCGGTTGAAGATGACAAAGCTCAGATGAAGATGCTGATAAGATAAAGTAGGCTGAGATGGTACTTGAAATTTGTGAGTGATTTGTATTTTTGATTAATAAACTTTGCTAATATCAAGTGAAAACCATTGTTTTGAAATTATATATAAATTATATATAAATTAAAGCGATTATTTGTGTTCGTGTCACTGGAACTAAAATGATTTTTTTTTTAAATTCATCTCCTAAAGGCCATGAAGGCCACTACAGTTAAGGAGACTTTAGTCGTGGTTACAACCCTCTTAACTCTACAACTCCAAAACACGAACCTTGAAAAAACAAGACGCGGAGAAACTTGCTTGTAGTTGAATAAAACTTTTTTTTTTTTAAAGTTAAAATTTGTAGCTACATAAAAATCTGTAAGTAATTTGCGCCAAACTCGTTTAATGTGACAATATACATCTACGTCTAACGGTTGAAGTATGCGGGACGAATGAGTCGGTAAAAATCAGGTTGATGTTATTTTCAATGCAAATACGTGCAACATCGTAAGTAACATGAGTGACGTGTCCGTCCAAGACTAAATTGTGAATACATGTAATTTAAAAAATTATTTGACTAATTGATTAAACTACTCATTTTGAGTAGACCAAACCAAATAACCTAGAATTTATTTGATTGCCGGTATGAAAACTTGAGTGAGCCATTGAATAAATCCATCCAACCCGACTTGGATGATGTAAAAACGGTATTTGGTTGTCCCCCTACACACCTGTCTATGTACAGACTTGATATTGATTTATAAACTACGATTGATGGCAGAATGGTACCGGTAGCGTTGACACAATTACCGATTGCGAAATTAATTTTTTTATGTTACCAACCAATTTTAAAGGGCGTTTAACACCAAACCTGCAAATTATATGCTGCTTACCTGCAAATTATATGCTGCTTACCTATCGCCTGAAAATTTAATTTCGTCAAAATTCCACAAAGTTGATATTTACATCAAGAAATTGTTTTTTAAGTGTATTGAAAAAACTTGTTATTTTTTCCTGGGTACAAGAAGAAGCACTGATAGACGAAATATTGTCTGTTATTCTGAGGCTAAGTTTATGACTTCATCGTTTTGTGAAACCTTGATACCATTCTCGTCTTGGTATACCGTTTGGTGGAAACAGATTATTATAGATAGCCCAAAAGCCCCTAATTATTGCAATGACATTTGCGAACGTTTTGCTGAACCCCTAATCAGCAAAACTAACAAGTATTTAAATAAGAGCAAATTTAAAAGCTGCACTTACCATTACTTAGTTGCAGCCCTACCATGTGATTGGGCTTTAAGTTGCCTTAGGTATGTTGTATGCCTCTGAAGCTTTACTGAGTGATATTTCGCCTTTTTTGATTTGCTCTACTGTAAGTTGCTATTGCTCTACAGTATAAGTTGTTTGCGTTTCACGAATATAAAGTACAAGTCAATTTTGTTTTAAAATTTTTTTAGATAGATAGCAAATCATATTTATTTATGTTTTAAGTACATAATTATTAATTTAGCCGTGCTCATCTTAATGTAAGTAAAATAAGTGTGAGCATGTTTACTCTTTACCCAAAAATCATTTATATAGATTTTTCGCTCATAAAGTTTTCCAAAAACTAGCAAATTCAATTATGAAAAGGGAATTTTGATTGTCATAAAATTTTTTACAAAACAAACTTTTTAGTTTATTTGTCAACTTTTTACAAGTTGTCAAGGTTTGCGCAGCGAGTTGCAGCCACAGCAGCCTTCTTTGTCAAGGTTTGTGTTTCCGAGTTACTAAGTTTAGAGAGGGTTGTAACCACATCGACTGTTGTGGCTTTCTTGGCTTTGGGGAGGTGAATTAACATTAACAAAAAAAAAAAAAAAAAAATTAAGTTGAGGGAGTTTTGGAACTTTTTTTTACTAACGTGAGAACTTTAAAGTTTGCTTAAGCAAAAATAAATTTTTTAAAACAGTTTACTTTTACCCAGTTTACTCTCTAAATGTATATAATATATATCATATAATATATATTATATATTAATTTATTATTATTAAATGTATATAACATATATCATATAATATATATTATATATTATTTTTATTATTATTATTAAATGTATATAATATATATCATTAATTATATATTAATTTATTATTACTAATTTATTATTGTAGACTTACAAACACATTAACACACAAAATTATATCACATTTCTATGAAAAAAAAATTTCTTGAAATATATATATATATATTTCAACACACACATATACACACACACACACACACACACACACACACACAATAAAGTAATATAATTTTTTCTTTTATTGCAAAACAAACACAATATATATCTAGCAGATTTTGAATACCGTATATAGATACATATATACTAAAACATATATAGATACATTTAGTGGGATAATTTGATTGCCTAACTCCATATGGTTTTTTCGAAAGAGAAAAAAAAAAATTGAATTGTAATGATAAAAATGATGCTGCCCTTAGTCAATGTAGCAGCACTCCTCCTACCTGTTAGTGTTAGAGTTGCAAAAAAACAATTTTTTAAGAAAAAATATTTTTGCAACTCTAGTCAATATATGTATGGCCCCTGGCAGCACTCTTTATCAGTATGAAGTCAGACGGCTTATCAAAATTTGCATATTTATATTATATATTTATGTGTATATATATATATATATATATATATATATATATATATATATATATATATATATATATATATATATATATATATATATATATATTAAAAAAAAAAAAGATTATAAAACTTACCCCATTTATTGTAGAAGGTTGGCCGACAGACTCACAACCATTTAATGTAGAAGGTTGGCCGACAGACTCACGATCTTTTACAGATAGAGTAGATACACGCGTAGCAATAGAATCATCTATGCTTGATTTCACTGATGATGCAAATGATTCCAAGTCAATATCTTGTACTTTCACATCTTCTTCTAGTGGATCCTTAAAAACAGATAAAACCCTTTAGCTCAAAAAATAAAATCCTCCATTGCTATCATTATCAACAACAGTGTTGTTATATCAATCATTGTCAGCATCAATTTTAATGTTTTCAAAATGCATGTTGAGTCGTCATTGGGGATATTGGTGCAGCCGCAGATGATTTGAAAGGTTTACATGGTTCAAAGGTGTCCCGCCTGTAGGATTGAAAAATATATTGAAAAAGAAATGTTAATATTTTTGGATATATTGATTGCATGAAAAGTATAAAAAGTCTGCAATAGTTACAAAAAAAATAAAATAAAATAAAAAGTAACATAAGTCAGGTGGCTTTAAGACACAAATGGACTTTGTCTTAAGTCTAGAAGATATTATCTAGAAGATAGAAAATAAGTAACAAAAGAATAATGCAAGGTGAAGCTTGTAATCTACATCAATAAGGTGAAGCTTGTATTTTACATCAACGAAGTCAAACTTGTATTCTACATCAACAAGGTGAAGTTTTTATTCTACATTATCAAGTTGAAACTTTTATTTTGAAGCAAAAATTACTTGACAAAAAAATTTACAAAAAAATGTGAAATAAAATCAATCAAAAAAATAGTAGACTAGAAATAAGATTAAAAAAAATGTAAAAAGTATATAAAAAATTAAAAAGAAAGGTTTTTTTAGAAGTATCTTATGAATAAATGCAGAAGAACAAAGGGTTCTCAAAATCATTGTGGTTAAATGCAGAAACAGGTAAAAATGTAAAAGAAAAAAGAAAACTTTATAAAATGTAGGTTGCAAATTAAGTATACAAGTTCTTGTTGAGCTAAATGTAAAGCAAGCTGTATAAGCAAGCAAGTTGTATACAAACATCAATTTAGAGGATATTTATTTAGAATTACTAGAAGTTTATTCATCTAGATTTATATTTATTTAGATTAGAACAAAATAATTGCAAATCCATGTTTTTTGTAACAAAACATTTGTCATACATTTGATTTGTCTAGTAATAATAACTAATAAAAATTTGTCTTTATTATTTGTCTAATATCTTTTGATATATTTATTGCTTTCTTGTTATCATTATTATTTAATCATTTAACAATTATTTAACTTTCATATAAATGCTTTAAGTTTATACATTTGTTTACAATTTTTTTAATGAAAAAGATTACCGAGAATAACAGCCAATGAAAAGTTATTTGCCAAGAATAACAGTTAATGAAAATTTTTTTGTCAAAAATAGCAACCAAAGACAAATTATAAGATCATATAATTGCTTTTAAATAAGATTCAAATTTTGAGGTTTTGATAGAGAATAAGTTACACATTTTTCTAAATTGCAAATCAAAATGGATCCAGAGCTCAAATTAACGCAAAAAATAATCTAATTGCAAAAATTTTATGCTTGAATAAAATTTCTTGCAATTAGAATTAAATTTCTGTTGTAATTTACAGCTTAATTTGCCGTTATATAAAATATTACACAATTTAAGCCACTTTGAACAGATACAAAAAACTGTTTAATACACCGTCCATACTGACAATAAAAAATGTTTTATTTTCAAAGCATATTTAAATATTTTTTTAAAAATCTGTATAAAACAACGATAATGCAATACTGTAATGTTGTTTTATAATAACACAAGTTTTTAAAATAGTGAAAAAGAATATTTCACTATTTTAAAAACTTGATTATACATGTTTTAGTAAAAAACTTGATTATACATGTTTTAGTAAAAATAATAATTTTAAAGTTTTATGAAGTTTTATTGTGTAATGTTTTAATCAACTCTAATTTATTAATTAAAATAATAGAATTATTTTAATTAATAAATTAGAGTTGATTAAAACATTACACAATAAAACTTCATAAAACTTTAAAATTATTATTTTTACTAAAACATGTATAATTGATCTACACCAAGTCTTCTTTTTAACAAAGCCCGGCTTGGGTAGATGTTCTATATACCCCGCGTACGGTTCAAAGTAAAAACTCAGAATAATTTAAATTTCACTTGGAGTGAGAAATTTGTTAATAGGGTTTTTTGCAATTAGCGACCTGGGGTGAGAATTTTTTTTTTAAAGTTACTCCCAACTTAAAACATTTGTTTTTATTACGTATTTTAGGAATTTTTTTAACTATATTTTTATTATTAATATTATTAAGTTTTGCAATAAATTGTATGGACAAAAAATGCCACTTGTAACATAAAAAATTAACAACCTTAATGTTTAAAACAATAAGAAATTGTATTTATAATGTACTAATATCAAAGAAAAATATATGTACAAACTCACATATGCTTGATTCCTTTGAATGCAGATAAATGTTTTACTCAGCTTTATTTATTTATGGTTTTACTAATACAGACATTGCTGGGTTGCCTGTCATATTTTTATTTTTTTAAATTGCTATTTACCTGTCAAATCTTTGACAGGTAAATAACAATTTAACTTGATTGCTTTTTTAGATATATCTGCAAGAACAATCTCCATTTAGAAACTAAAGACATGTTGTCAATGCTGATGATGTTTCCTCTGCCATTAATATTGCGCATTGCCAGAATGATTTGCATTTTAAAGCTTTAAAAACTCATAAAAAGGCAGTGTTTAACTGTTTCTCAAAATTAAAGCATAAGTTAGGCGCCAGACCTTCGGAACTCTCTGATGACAATTAATGATCCTGATGAGAATGTCATTTTGACACTACATGGGTAATTGGATAATATATCACCTATATTTTAATCATCTACCACTCGATGCACTTATGCTTATCATTTTTAGGAATTATACTATCATTTCTAGAATTTAGATATAATGATTTATGCCTATAGGGTTGTACTTTATTCAGATTTGGTCATTAAAACATTACTCCTATTTAACACAATAAATGTGTGAAATAGTAATGTATATAATACATATGATTTGTGCTTTGGAATGTGTTTGCGAGGGTATGCACATGTGTTATATTGTACTCATACAAATACATATATACTCATATGTGTTTGTATGAGTATATATGTATTTATGTTTATCATTGTATGGATATATGTATATGTACTTATGTATATACTTCTATACATACCTATTATATACATATACAGATATACCTATTATATACATATACAGATATATACATACCTATTTGTATATATATGTCTGCATATGTGTATGTTTATATATGTATAGGTGGAAATGTATATATGTATATATATATATATATATATATATATATATATATATATATATATATATATATATATATATATATATATATATATATATATATATATATTAGGGTGATGCAAAATTTGTAGGTTCAAAACTTTAGTTGTCCTCAAGCTTGCCCTTGTTCTATATGACAATAGTAGTTATTGGCCAAAATTTGAATCAAATCGGATGATATTTAGGGGTTGCCATGTTTTGTCACATTTTGGTATAAGGTTACAAAAAGTAAAAAAAATATTTTTTATTTTTACATTTTTTATATTATATTACTGAATTATTTATTATCAATTTCTTATTATTATGTGGTGGATTGTGGATGTTCAATGTTAAAAAAATCAATACTATAGTACTACTATGTAATTGCACTAGGCAATAATAAATCAATCATCTTCATCATTCAACAGTCATCTTCATCAGGGTAGACTTTGATGCAACTGGAAATTCCTTCCGGTGAAGATTAACCAATCTAAGAAGAAACTGCTTTTGGTTTTCATCTTTCGTAACGCTTGAGTTAAAGGATGTTATAAGTGCTATGCCTCGTTCCGCGCAATCGTTGACGACTTTGATTTGACCAACCTTGTGCTTCATTTCAAGATATGTTGAATCCATTTCCCACTCTGAAGATTCTTTCATTAAAAATGATTCAGCTTTTTCTTTTCCATTTTTCAAAATTAGATCGAAAAGTTCTGCGGTGCGTTGTGTGACGAAGGAAGGCAATGGGCTGTGACAATCGAATGTGGCAGCATCAAGTCTTTTGAGAGATTTCTGCCTTGGCTGTTGTTTCAGGTTGTTTGCCATGTCTCTCTTGGTGTTGTTGTCGACACGGGAATCGAAGAAAGCCAATCCTATTAGATGTTCAGAAAAATACCAGAGGTGGCGATGAAAAGCTTTTGCTGCATTAATTGCAATTGTATGATTTGGATATTCTTAAATCCGTTGAAGAAGCTTGGCATCATTGAATGGTGCTCGTTTAGCTAACGGAACTTCATTCCAAAACTGTCCGTATACAAATGCCACAAAAAGACTTATATCTGTTATTCCTTTCTTTTCCTTTGCAGTAATAACAAATTGATCCTGAAACAAATATATCTTTATACAATATATAGCTTTTGCCATCCAACGTGCATTGTGTGTTGCACCTGGAGCCCGAAACTTCACTTTGAACTCCGATGTTGTAGTTGATCCTCCAAGAAAAATAAGGCACAAATTCAAGAGTTCTAAGTAATCATCCCTGGGTTGTTGACCTTTAATTGCTTCACTATAATATACTACCATTTCTTCACGGAGTTTGAGAAAAAAATCGCAGTTGTAAAATTCTTTATTCCCTATAGTGAACACCTCCTTGTTGATTGCTGGCCATTGTTTCTGGAAACGGTTAAAAATTCTGGAAGGAGTCTGATATACATCATCATCCGAGGAACTAGAGCTACTTTCACTCACAATGTCAACTGCTGATGAAGAAGAAATGAGTTCTGTTTTTTCCATCAGTTCCGCTTGACTTCTTTGACGCCTCAATTCCATTTTAGTTTCTCGGACTCGTTTCCGTGCCTCCCTAGCTGTTAAATTCCGATCAATTCCTGCCATACTACAACTTAATGGATCTTCTTGCTGCTGACGTAAAAATGCTTTATCTTCATCGTTTTTCATAACTTCTGATGCATTCTTGGTTGAAATATCAAAAAGTTCTTCAAGGTCAGCGTGGAAAATTCCTTCTTTCATTTGACAGCTGTCCAATTTTGATCCTCGGTGTTTTTTCAGCAGCAGATATTCGTCATAAAGTTTTT